TTCTAGAAACTGGAGGCCCAAGAAGCCTCCCAGAGTCTCAGTTCTCAAGGAAAATGGGCATATGCCAAAGGATTTGCAAGATGCAGGAATTTCATTCCTGGCCAACTATGTCTGATATCCATGCCTTTGCATAAGTTGAGAGTCCAAACTCTACTTCTACATTTTTGCAATTCACCTTCCAACTTTGCAAACATGTTTTGTCATGTTTTTTCTATGATATCATATTTATAAAAGCAATTAGGGTCTTCACCACTATTTAACTTAATCACAAAGTTTTCAAGAGCCCCTACCAGTCCCAGTCATGTGTTCAGGATCAAATGGAGGTAAAATGGAGTAAAGCTTTTACATTTAATAGTTAATGCAAGCAGCACTTCTTTACATACCACAACATTGTCTCCACATCAAATTTTCATCAAGACATTTAAAATAATCCATTTCAATATACTTTTATATCTAAAAATGAATTTGTATACAAGAACTATTATTAGCTGCCTTTATTACCTACTTGGAGCAAATAATGAGATTGAGACTGATTTGAGGTCATGGCCTGTTAATGAAGAGCAATCAAATGCTAAGTCAATTTTATCACCAATGGGACATAAAAACAATTATCAGCTAAAATTTTCCCCATAAAAATCAAATGAGAACATAATTATGTGTTTATCCAATTTTAGGACTTTTTTCATAATCAGGTTGAATTTTTGTATCTCATTTTTTTAAAAATTTGTTTAAATGTTTATTTATATTTGAGAGACAGAGACAGAGTCTGAAGTAGGCTTCAGGCTCTAAGCTGTCAGCGCAGAGCCAGATGCTGGGTCGGAACCCAAGAACTGAACTGTGAGATCATGACCTAAGCTGAAGTCGGACACTTAACTGACAGAGCCATGCAGGGGCCCCTTATTTTTTTTTTTATTTCAAAGTAGTAAAGTTCCAAATAATCATAATAGAACTCATTTTAGATCTCTATTAAAGAAATACTCAGATTCAAGAGCACTTCCAAGCTTGCTGTCTTTGCAAACAGTAATCACTCAGAAGGGGCCTCTCCAAAACACCAGGTAAAAAGAAGTGCCCTGGGGCACTTTTAAAAAGTGGGGCACCTAGATGGCTCAGTCAGTTAAGCTTCAGCCCAGGTCACAATCTCCCCGGTTCATGAGTTCAAGCCCTGCAGTGGGCACTGTGCTGACAGCTCAGAGCTTGGAACCTGCTTCAGATTCTGTGTTTCCCTCTCTCTCTGACCCTCCCCGCTTCTATTCTGTTTCTCAAAAATAAACAACCATTAGAAAAAAATATTTTTAACCCCAAATAAAAAGCTTTCTGTATAGTCACTGCAAACAGCATCAAGAAATAACATATAGCTGCAATTTCAGATTTGGTTCCCAGAGTTCCACTCCCCTCCTTATGCAGCATTTCATAAGAATTTCTGAAATGTTCTTCCAAGACCCTGAGCCTTTATAGACCATTAAAACAACATTTCTAAAATCAGCTATCCCTGCCTCAAATCCAGCATTTTTTGCTAGATGGGATCCAAAGTCACTTTCTGATTTCCATTTCTATCACTGCCTCACTAAACTCAATGAGTTTCAAAACTACATTTCTTAATTACAGAAGTAAGTTACAGAGCCTCTAGGTGTTTGCACTTTACATCTAACATTTCTTTTCTTTTTTGGAAAATCTGCCGTTTCACACAGACTTGGGTTCTTCCCACTCCCTCCTCTGTGTAGAATTGGGGTTGGATGGTATTTTTACTTATCCTTCTAGGTTTGCTCAGTCACTGATTTCAGTTTGCATTCTTCACCATACCTGTCATTGGTGTTTTGACAATCTGGTTATTTAGACATAAAAAATAAAAATAAAAAATATAAATAAATACATGCATACATACATACATAGATATGTATTTTAAAAAAACACTAAGCCTAAATGACTTTCATTAAACCAGCCAGAAGTGGACTTTCCTCCCATCAAATATTTGGGGTAGTTTTTCTAGTACATTTCTTACTTTCCCAAATAAGTAGTCAGTATTGGCTTTGAAGTGAAAAATATTTTGAATATGTACTACTTTTAGAGCCCCTCAGTAGCTAGCTCAGTGTCATGTGCTAAAACCAAGGTTTAGTAAGTCTTTGAGGACCACAGAGCTCAAAAATCCACCACTGAAAGCTTTATCCATAGAACTCTGCATAAGTGAAAGACTCTAATGCTGACATTAAATAGTTTTTCTATCAATGTGTATAAACAACTGTTTCAAGAATTAACTCCTCAGTTATCTGTGATGATGTTGACTAGCAACATATTCATGTAAATTTTGTAGAAAAGTTATCCAAATAGGCCACAATGGACCTTAAACTATGCTAGTAATCCAATTTTAAAGGATACAATCCATGCCTCTAAAATTTAACAAGTTCCATGACAAATGATTCACCCAACTGGAATCAGTTCACGCAGCCTCTGGGACCCCACAAAACACAAAATACAAAGCACTCAGGACTAAATGCTTACCAATAGCTATGTCTTAATAGGCCTGCCAGACCATACCCAGATTTAAATAAGGAATCATGCTCCGTTCTCAAAGTAGAAATAAGAAAAATAAGCAATTGAAGTAATGATATGAAGTATAAGCAATAAATGTTACGGTTCAATCCAATAAGAACATTTTTTCAATGGGGAAAATATTAAAACTTATTCTAATATTTTCTAGCTATTTTTAATCAATCTATAAGGGATATCTGCATGATATTATAAAACTCATTTTTATTTATATTCCTAGAAATCCATTTTCCCCATTAGTCAAGCCACATATGTCATTTATTATTATCATTATTATTATTATCAAATATAATTCAGTAATTATAAATGCTTCTTCAATAATAATGGGTATTACCTTTTAGAGCCAGGCATTTTAATTACATCATTTCATTTAAACCCCTAGGTCTCCCTCTAAGGATTGTGGTGTTGCCCCATCTTATAGAAGAATAAAGTAGATGAGTGACATAACTCACTCCTCAAGGCCATTCAACTAAAAAAAGGCAGGCTAGAGATCTACCAGAATCCACTGGAAGTGTCAGCTTGCACTCTTCCCCCCTTATCCCATTTCTCTCCTCAAACATCCTTCTGACCTGACCACTTTTGGAAGAACTCTAAAAAGTAACCAGACATTAAAAGTTAAAACCAACTCAGGGACCGATTGTCTGTAAGACACCTGTGGGCTAGTAAAGGTAAAGAGTTGCTTGCTGAAGACCATATAAATATATGTTTTATTCACCTGGACAAATTTGATGGCAGTTTTAGTGTAGAAGTGGCTTGAACTATCTTCCACTGTTGAATGACAGGATGGGAGGAAAGGCTTAAGTCAAAACAATAGTTTGCCCAAACATTATGAGTTCACTCATATCTTCATAGCCTCATTCCAAGAGTGAGTGGTGAGTGGTCATCATATGGTCACAGGCCACCCTACCACTATGCTTGCTGTACTCCAGCTCAACTCTCTGAGAGGAAAGGACCACAAAAAAGAAACTAGAAGTGGGGGGGTGGGGGGAGGCTGAACAGGGCAGCCCATTCTGTATTTTGTGGAACTCCTTGAAAGGAAAAGGTTACATTCAAACCAACTAGACATTCTCCTCAGATCTCCCTTGACTCCTTGATCCAAAGCTTTAGTCATAATCTCAACGTCAACTTATAAATGGAAAGTTGGCAGAAATAAGCAAAATTTTTGTTTTTTCCCTGGAGAAATGCATACGTACACACACACACACACACACACACACACACACACAGACATACATGGTAAAGTAGATGCTGGATATTATTATTTCCACTCTATAATTTGCAAATTCTCTGCAACAAATATGCATGTATTTCACAACGATAAAAATCATACTATCATTTAAACACTTTTTTCTCTCCACCTCCACTGTTTCCTCACAGAAGTCTGCATTACTCTTAACTGTGTTGCATTTTATAAGACAACTAATAAAGGTAAAATTTAGAACAAGAAGGGGGTGTTTAAGAACACATGGTAGAAAAAAGAAAAAAGAATTTTAAAAAATTAGTGTGGTTATTATTTCAAAAAGCAAAATGGTTTAAATTCAGGGATAAATAAAAGCATCTCAAACTCTCAAAAGACCTGTTTGGGGCTATTCATAAATTAATAATTATGCATAAGTAAAAATAACAGACATTTAGCTGTTCGGTTCATTTGCAGCCCAAAGTTTAATTTTGAAAAATAATAAGCCAAATTCTTTAAAACTGGGAATACCAATACAAATTAATAGAATGGGTTACTATAATTATTATTTATAAATATTCCACAGCAACAGATACCCTATAATAATAACACTATCAACAACAATGTCTGTCATTTACTGAATGCTTTCTAGAGATCAGTCAAGGGACTAAGTGCTTTAAATGTATAATCTCTTTGAATTGTGAAAGCAATCCGATGATGAAGGTACTTTTCTTTTTCCCATTCTTATTTCATGGATGAAGAAACTGAGGCTTAAAGAAACTGAATGATTTAAGTGAATTTAAGCATTGGGATGCAAAATCAGTTCTGCCTTAAACACTATGCTAACACTAAAATGCCTTTATACCATTGAAGTGAGTTAAATTGGCTTCCAAAATCAATACCTTTTGAGACATACACCTTCTTAGGGATGGGTCAAAATTTGTCAATGATAGAAACTTTGCAAAATAGCAAACTTATGAAAATTCAGGAAATTTGGAAGAGAGGGGACTATTTAAAATAAATGTTAATTCCCAAGACATCAAAGTTATTCATTAGAAAATCTTGAACACCTTAGTAAGTAGAAATTTGAACAAAAATGTTCCCTGATTTCCTTTTAGAATCTACACTTCTGAACTAAAAATCTTCTGTGTTCTTCATTACTGTCTATATATTTCATATCATATAAAAACAGTTATGTGGTTATTTGGGGAAGTATGTATGTAAATCATAACTTTCCAGTCACATTAAGAGTATAAAAGTTTATAACACTGGACCATACCTTGGTTTTCATGAACTTGGAGTGACTTTTGTAAACCTCTATTTGTTTGATCTCTTCTTCACGGTCCTCAGTGTTCAGCACACCATTGGCTTTCAGCATCTGGATCTCATCCTCCAGATCCCTTATGTTTCGTTCCAATGAAGCAATTTTTGTGTCCTGTTGTTAAAAAAGACAGAGAGAGAGAGAGACAGAGAAAATTGTTTTTTTCAGTATTATAAAAACAGAATTTCAGAAAGTAATTTTGGGAATAATATATTAACTATGGTATAGACGTAGCCCTGAATTCAGAACAATTTATGTTTTTCACTTCTGAGGACTGTTTGTGAGATCATTTTTTCAGCTCCCAATAAAGATCGTATGTCAATACAACATGAAGAGTTGCCTAGAGATGTTTGTCTAATATCTGGGAATCAGATTATCAAAGCAACAAGAATAAAAGTGATCTGAAGTGTTTAAAAAAAAACACTATTTAAGTGGACAAATTTGTAATTTCAGATATAGTTAACCAGTGCACAATTTCTAGTCTACTTATAAACACAAAAATGGTTTGTTCATGTGTACATTCTATGGCTGGTTTTATAAGGCATGCTTGGAATTCACTCTGAGAGAGAAGGAAATTAAAATCTAATAAGGAGAAGAATTCTCGTCTAGAATACAAACATCACTGCAATTAAATAACTAAATCCTAACTTAGTATGACTGATATACTAAATATTGAAAATTTAGGTCGCTAAATATCACAATGTCGATCTATTTGGCAAGCAGCTCCCTAAGTGACAAAAAACACTACCACCTTGCAGGACACTTCTAATCTACTGACTTTTGGAGTTAAAAACTAGAAATATTACACTCAAATGTGGGATTGTGGGGAAAAAACAACCATAGGGAATGTTTTTAAGGAAATGACAGAGTCTGTACACAAAAGCATAGTAAGAAATGAGGTATTAGAAAATGAGAGAGCTTTTTTTAAAATCTTTTTAATGTTTTTATTTATTTCTGAGAGAGAGAGAGAGACAGCATGAGCAGGGGAGGGTCAGAGAGAGAGAGAGCTGAAGAATCTGAAACAGGCTCCAGGCTCTGAGCTAGCTGTCAGCACGGAGCCCGACGTGGGGCTCAAACCCACCAACCATGAGATCATGACCTGAGCTGAACTAGGACACTTAGTTGACTGAGCCACCCAGGCATCCTGAGAAGAGAGAGCTCTTAAAGGGGATTAAAACCTTTTCTCAACCTCAGATATTAAACTCCAATCAGTCTTGGAAAGGAAGCACATTGAAAGTTTAACTGTAAGTTTCCTCCCTATCTACCTCTCCTTTATTGTACAGATGCAAGGAGCTGATATTACATCTGTATTTGAATGTTAACGAAAAACAAATCATAATCTCATTTTTTTAACCAATTAATTTTCAAGAATCTAAAAGACTAAAGAGTTCTAAACATAAAGACAATGAATGGTCTATTCTATTTATAACTAACTCATAGGAAAAACTTTGCAACAAATACATCTGTCCTGACTTTGTGGCTATTTTCTACCTTAATTTCCTATATTATACGGCCAATGGCATGTCTTCATGCAACAATAGAATAATCATTACATGTCATCATCATTAAATGGAGGAAAATGAGGAGAAACAATTACTTATCCAGTGCCACTGTGTGCAAACAGTCAAGTGTTTTAAGTGCTGAAGACGTTTTTATCAATTCTCAGAAAAACCTCAAGAAGATGAAATAAGATTCTAAAATCTGCAAGATTATTATGGAATGTTACATCCTATAGCATTTCATTTTCCTTTTAAAAATAATATTATTGTTATCTTTTCTAGTTATAAAAGTAATACACTTTAAATTCCTAGAAAATGAAGAAAATCCTCTCTAACCCTACCATCAAGAGATAACCATCACTCATGTTTTATGTACTGCTGCCAGGATTTTTCTATTTTCAGATGCAATTTCTAGAAATCTTGTATGTGGCCAGTTTGAGTGAAGGGAGTGTCAAGGACTAAATGTCTATGTGCCTCCAAAATTCCTGTGTTGAAGCTCTAACTCCTGATGTGCTGGAGATGTGACAGTATTTGGACATGAGGCCTTTGGGAGGTGATCAGGGTTACATGAGGTCATGAGGATGAAGCCCTTGTCAAAAGAGACACTAGAGAGCTTGTTTTCTCTCTCTCTCTCTCTGCCATGTGAGGGCACAGCAAGAAGGTAGCCATCTGTGAGCCAGGAGAGACCCCCTCACCAGAAACAAACATTGCTGGCATCCTGATCTGGGATGTCCAGCCTCTAGAACTGGGAGAAAATACATTTCTGTTTAAGCCCCCCAAGAAGTGGCATTTTCTCATAGTAGCCCAAGCTGATGAATGTAGGGAGACATCTTTAGTGACTCCTTTGAGTTCTGAAGTATGAGAACTCTGTAGGTAAAAGAGCAGCAATAATAAAAAGGCTGCAGGGGGCACCTGGGTGGCTCAGTAGTGGAGCATCCAACTTCAGCTCAAGTCATCATCTCACGGTTTATGAGTTCAAGGCCCACATCAGGCTCACTGATGTCAGCACAGAGTCCACTTTGGATCCTCTGTCCCCCTCTCTCTCTGCCCCTTCCCCACTCACACTCTTTCTCTCTCTCAAAAATAAATAAACTTTTTTTTAAGGCTGTGGACGCTTTCAACAACTGCCAAATTATGTTAAGAGCCTAAATGTCCATCAACTGACAAATGGATAAAGAAGATGTGGTTTATAACTATGATGGAATACTATTTGGCAATGAGAAAGAATTAAATCCTGCCATTTGCAGCAATGTGGATGGAAATGGAAGGGATTACGCTAAGTGAAATAAGTCAGTCAGAGAAATACAGATCTCACATGTTTTCACTCATATGTGGAACTTGAGAAACTTAACAAAGACCATGGGGGGGAGAGAAGGGAAGGGGAAAAATAGTTACAAACAGAGAGAGAGAGAGGCAAACCATAAAAGACTTTTAAACACAGAGAACAAACTGAGGGTTGATGGGGGACTGGGGGGAGGGGGAAATGGGTGATGGGCATTGAGGAGAGGACTTATTGGGATGAGTACTGGGTGTTGTATATAAGTGATGAATCACAGAATCTACCCACAAAACCAAGAGCACACTGTACACACTGTATGTTAGCCAAGTTGACAATAAATTATGAAAATAATAATAAATAGTCTACTGGAAAAAAATATTAAAAATTTTAAAAAATTAAAAGGAACTACTTATTGAAGTAGGCAAAGTACTGTTTCAGGATATATATATGTATAAATATTATATATAAATACAAAAAACATTATATATGCATACATATTAGATATATATAAATAATTTGGATTTTATGCATATGTAAATATGTATTTATACAAAAATAAATAATTTGGATAATAAAAATAATAAAAGGCTGTGGAAAAGAACTAAGTGTTTACAACAGCCTTCTCAAATGGGAATCATTTTAAATCAGCATTTTTCTGACTATAAAATTAAAATATGCTCATTATAGAAAACTTGAAAAGCTATATAATTATGACTGTACACAATCCCATCACCCAAATATACCCAATATTAATACTTTTATTTAAGCCCATGAAAGCCTTGGGATTATATTATTACTTTAAGATATATTAGAAGATATCAGTTAAAGCCCTAGTAAATAAGACAGAGATTTTCTCTTTTTGAAATACAATCTTTCAGCATTTACAAATATCTAAGTACAATCTTTACAAGAGTTTAACTGTAAGTTAAGTGTGAAAGGAAGGACCTATATCCATGCTTTTCTAACCCAAAATCTTCTGGTATTTCAGACCCAAGTCTGAAGTGAGCATATTTATATGTATGTATGTATGTATGTATGTATGTATATACATGTATATATAAAGACATATGTGCAATACACTTTGTGGTCCTCGTGTCTTACACCTTAATGTTTTCATACTCTTAGAATTTCAGGTGTCAATTACACAGGTGTGAGGAGAAGAAATCCTCAGCTTTCCCCTTGGTCAAATCCTGGGGCTTTAGTTAGCAATAACCACAGCTGCCAACTTCTAACTGGGTTGGCAGGAGCTTTTTACTGCACTTTAAAAAATTACTAAAAAAAGAAAGATCAGAACAGGGTTAAGATAGAAAGTTTTGTGAAATGAAAAAAAATATCTGAATTAAAATTTCACTAAACAGTAAAACACACAAAGGGAGGTAGGTAGGGCAAATGGGCTAAATTGGTGATAGGCACTAAGGAAGGCACTTGTTGGGATGAACACTGGGTGTTATATGTAGGTGATGAATCACTGGGTTCTGATCCTGAAACCAATACTACACTGTATGTTAACTAACTTGAATCTAAGTAAATAAATCTCAAAAATACATACATACATACATAAAATGTTTAACTTTTATAAATTTTCTTAAATTAACAACTTTCTTCTTCCTCACAAATTTTTTCCCTTAAGCCAAGGTTCCCAAAATACTAAAAAAAAAAAAAAAAAAAAAGAAAGAAAGAAAGAAAAGAAAAAAGAAAGGGGGTGTTTTAGAAGTCATTTTAATAACAATCTATAGTTTTTTCTGTCCTTATTTAGGTTTCTATTCTTTAAGAAGTCAAGTTTAGATCAACAGAATTCATACTTGAAATCTTGAGCATAGGGAAAAGGAGATAGGAAATGTCATTAAGATCTAGAAAGGGGAAGGGGCGCCTGGGTGGCTCAGTCGGTTGACCGTCCAACTTGGGCTCAGGTCATGATCTCGGGGTTTGTGGGTTTGAGCCCTGCAGGGGGCTCAGTGCTGACAGCTAGCTCAGAGCCTAGAGCCTGTTTCGGATTCTGTGTCTCCCTCTCTCTCTCTGACCCTCCCCTACTCACGCTGTCTGTCTGTCTCTCTCTCTCTCTCAGAAATAAATAAAACATAAAAAAAAAGATCTAGAGAGGGGAAGACATACAAAATACATAGATATATAAGATGGTGCATACTGACTGTGCCAAAGAAAATATTGAAAATAATGAGGCAGAGAAAGACATGAGGAAATAGAAGTATGAAAAACAAAGGCAAAGGCAAAATGTCTGCCACAGTCACAGCTTCTCCACTGCTTCAGTTTGAGGAATTCAGGAAGAAGAAATTTTATCTCTTTCTCTTTTTTCAAATCTCTAAAACTAAGACGAATTA